CAGACTGTGCACATGTGCTAGCCACAATATATGCACAGACTGCAGATATAGTGGGTGATGATCATGACACAGAGAATGATGCAGGAGGGAGCAATTGTGAGACATAGACGGTTGGGGAAAACAGAGAGGAGGGAGATGTGGGAAGCAGGGAATCTCCCACGGGGTGTATTGTCAGAGACGAAAATGTGATGAGGACATCAGCAGGAGAACAATACCCATATGACATTAATTGGGTGCCGGGTCGTGTTCTACCGAGTATTGTTGAAGGCGCATCATGCTTTGCGTTCAAGGTCGATGGCACGTGGGTTCCATTTCCAGCCCCCATGAAGAGTACAAGGCGAAACATAACTCTGTCATTCGTGTATGACAGAGTATTAAGGTTGAACGATGGGGCAACGACACAGGAGAAAGGGCGACATGCATTAAAAATGTGGCGTGTTCTGGAGGCACAGGACGAGTTCCGCCTGAACAATTTTTTGTATGACACTTTTGATTGCGGACATCCATGGGTGATTGGTGGCAACCAAGCGACAGGGAGTATGGCGTGCCAACAGAGCGATGCAAGAAAGGATCCTCGATGGGGTTGGGTACCATGTGTGATCCGATTTTCATATGGTCGTGTGAGGATGATGATGCGTGACGCGATGGGAAATGTCTGGAACACACATTACGTGAATGGCAACTTCTCCTTCAGGCATCTGGACAGGGAAGTCACACAAGAGGAGAAGGAGGCAATGGCATTTCGTCCCCACATTGCTGGCTGCTTCGTCCCGCCGCTTCGGAACCCTGTGGAGTTGGAGGTAGTTGAAGGGAAAGTGTTCAGTGGTGACAATTGCAACACATACACGTAGGCAAGAGGGAGAGAAACCACGTTTGATGGAGTATGCATGGAGATATGAGACCATGTGGCTATGAGGAAGGACGTTCTGTCTGCAATGGACATTAGGTCCCACGTCAGCCCGGAAGGACAGCTGCAGCAGCATATGGCCCCTGAAAAGTATGGCTATCGTGTCAATTGGGTCCGTGGATGTTTGCATCCTGCAGTTGTCGATGATAAGGTCACGCTGGCGGCACGACTGCAATCAGGGCATTTGATCCCATTGGGCGGGATGCACGCAGGCGTTGTGGAGCATTGGCAGTTTCTTATGGTTCTGGCACGTGTCTTTATTTTTAATGCACATGAAAAGGACCACGTGCTCGTGGTTGAACACACAAAGCGTTGCCGGGAGAGGATCAGGGAGGAGGACCGTCAAATGGTGTGTGCGGAATATGACTCCATTACTGACCAGGTGATGTGGTCCATGGTTGAGGAGAGTCATGGGGGCGAAGAGCAGGACGACGTGCAAAACAGATACATGGCTGACATTCGCCGCAAGCACGGGCAAACAACAATTCTTGGTTGGGTTTAGGTCGTCTTCCTCATGACATTTGAGCACGGTGGAGACTTGTGCATGAGATGCAGAGACCCGCTTGGTGTGCCTTTCCACCTGACCTACTCAGATGGACTGCTGAGCGACATTCAGTACGTGGCAGATGACGACTTGGACGGTGTATCGCAGCCACGCAAGAGGACAGAGCAGCAACAAGACATTTCTCGTTTGTCTTCTGAGGTGGAGTATCCATGTGATCCTCGTCCCGACAGAGGGTGCTCTGCAGCACAACGTGACATAGGCGGCCCGAGCGATGTGGGGATGTCGCAGAGCCCGAGGAAGATGAAAATATGCACGTTTTGACTGGCACATGCACAAACGCCCGCCGCCAAAAAGAAAGTGAATCAAAAGGCGGTGCCAGCGACCGGTGATACAACAGGTGCACCAACTCGGACCCCCAAACGTCGTCGACGCCCGGGGATGACAGCTTTGACAGAAATCAGAAAGCTGCAGCGATCGACTGACCTTTGCATGACTTTCATGCCATTCATGCGGCTCGTGCGCGAGATTGTGGAGAAGGACATCGCTCTGGATATGGGGGTGAGATTTCAGATACCTGCTGTGCGTGCATTGATGAAGGTTGCCGAAGCTTACCTAGTCGCCAATTTCAGGAACACAAACGAGGTGGTCATCCATTCGAAGAGCATAACGATCCAGCTCAAGGACATGAGACTGGTTGACAGGATGTCGAAACCTCGTTGGGTTGAGAAATATCAAAGGTATGTTGGACGAGAAGGCGAGAAATGAGGAGAGACAGCAACGGATGGAGGCCAGACAGACGGATAGAGATGGCAGCAGAGCAGAGGCAACGAAGAGGAAAGTAGTGTCACGCAAAGGCAACGCACAGAAAAAACAGGCAGCATGAGAAATCACCAAAAAAAAGCAACTCACAGGCATTGTACTGTAGACGGTTCGCCAAACAACGGTGTGTACTGCAGAACGCATGTCATGTCCAGTCTTTGACACTGTGGTAGTCTTTGCAGTATTAGGTGGAATGATGAACTTAGCATGGCCGCAAGATGAACCTTGTCTTACTTCGTCTGTGATGCTCACTGTTGTACAACTTTGTGCTGCTCGTGTACGATAGTCCTCTCTCTCTCTAGCTCTTTCTTTCTTTCTCTCTCTCTCTCTGTTTCTCTCTCTCTCCAACGATGATGTCGATGTACGAGTGATGATGTGTGTGTGTGTGTGTGTGTGTGTGTGTG